ATAGGTAGCATAGTTACCCATTGTATAGTATCATCTACAATAGTAAAAAGATATTCATACTTGCTGTAAGCTTGTACTAGGGCAGGTCCCCATATATTAATATGGAGATGATCTCCATAGGATTGTACAAGAGGTGTTGTTCATATTTTTGGTATTTCATTGTATTGTATGTTTGCTTTGATACAATCTGTACACTGTGCATTTTTATTGTCTGTTATCCTTTGACTTATAATCTCAGGATACTCTTGTATGAGTTTGTGCAAGTAATCAAAATTAACATGACCCATTCATTAATGTAAATCAACAATAGTGATTGTGTTAATAGATCATTTGTTATGATGAGAAACTATCATATACTAAGTTATTTTGTACATGTATTTCACCAATCTTTGTATGAGCAGGAGAATAAATAATACATTCATTGTTTGTTTTCATTAAAACATATCCTGCTTTACATAATAGTGCTTTACTAACGAGTGTAAAGTTCAGATTAGGATGATAGTATATGTTTTGTAGTGAAATTATATTCACCTTAGTATACTCATTGGCTTTGTCTTGTAGTTTTATGTTAAATGTCATTACTCCACTTTTACTAAGTGTGAATAACAATTTATTCACAATTGTAATGTTTATTAGGGTTGAGTTCCAAACGTTTGTAAGATGGAACAAGTATGGAGTAGTGTGTACATTTGCACCAGAGTCTAATATATTAATACAATGTATTAGTTCAGTATTATTGTAATGTATTGTATTGATACATATGTTTGGATTATAATTGAACTCCTTAATGACTTCTTTTGTATTGTCAAATGAGTTCATAAAGTTGTCTACTTGTATGACACTATCCTCTTGTACTTTGAATGCTGAAAATATGTTGGATTCAGTAGATAGAGCAGATTGAACAGGTAAGCCACTAGAACTTGATACTGAGGCTTCTACAATTATAGACTCTAGCATCAGTGTTTTATTAATGTCTTTAATGAATACTGTTTCATTATTATCTCTAATGAATACTACTGTATTAAGTACAGGTTGAGACAATGTAGTAGTAGTAGTAGAAGTAGTAGCTGTTTGCTTATGCTTTTTCTTTTGAGCTTCTATTGTTTTGCTTGTTGAAGGATTTCAGTAGTCTTTTAACATATACCTGTACTTATTATAGTTGTAGTATTTGACTTTATTATAAGGCTTTGTTTTGCCTTTAGCTACACTTTTGCCTTTTGTTTGTAGGCCATCTCATTCAGTATCTTGTTTTGTTTGAGAGTACTAAGAATAATACTTAGTATATGTGTTTTGTAATTTGTGTATCAACTTAGCTGGTGTCAGAACATCTTTCTGAGCTACTGTAACTGTTAGTAGTTGATTATAATAGGTAATCTGCCTGTCTAGCATTGTTGCTACCCATTTATACTTATAAGGAGTAGCAAGGTTAATTTCTGAAATGTATGTATTGTTATTAGAGGCTTTATTATGTGTAGACAACTGTCTGTAGATTTGTTCAATGTTGTCTAACATCTTATCAAACTGTAATACATACCCTTTTACTGTAAACAATGTAGATATGTTTATAGTATGTGTCATCATTGTTTGAACATTGTATTGTTCAGAAAGTGCCTTCATGAGACTTCTAACACTTGTATACATTGTAAAGTTTGTATAAATTGTATCAGTTATTAGGATACAAACATTTATTAGTATATATAGTGTGGACCAGATGTTAAGCCAAGCTTGACATTATACCCTTATAGTGAAGAGGTTCTATGTATGGTCTACTATATATAGTAATCCCTTACATAATGTTAAGCTTAGAGCAGTCAGGGGTTTGATCCTAATGTAGGGTTGTTTGTAAGCAAAAGTATTAGGCTGAGAATAAGCTTCCTAAAAGGGGGGGAGTGAATTTCTCAGTTGCTTAGAATACTAGGGCCAGGACTCTATATTAGGATATCTCTCCCTACTTCTAAAGACTGTCAAGGTTAAGCTAGAAATAGTAACCCTTAGGGTCAAACTCTATATACTAGTCATGTGAGAACACATGACTCTAAAGAGGAGAGTAATGTTAGAACACAAACATTTATCAGTATATATAGTGTAGACTAGGTGTCAAGCCAAGCTTGACATTACACCCTTTTAGTGAAGAGGTTCTATATATAGTCTACTATATATGGTAATCCCTTACATAAAGGTATAGAGAGTAAGGTTAGTAGTATCTAGTAGAATAGGAAGAATAAAGCAAGTAGGGACATGAATAGAAGACAGAGTCTGAACTTTAGAGGACAGCTTCTGAGGTACTGTAGGTATGGTTAGTCTTACACTCACACAGGGGTACTATTTTTTCAGAAGAGGGAAGGGTGTAAGCCTACCCTACAGCTTATAATAGCTTTTATACTATTCTGTACCTCTTCTAGTACAGAACTACATTTCCAAACCTAGACCTTCTCCCAAGCCTAGACCTCCTTAGTGTAGACCTTAGAGTCACACACATTTCCTCTTTTGTCTTTACACTATGTTTCCTTATTGTCTGAGTCACATACTCTTTATTCTTAAGTGTATACACTCTCCTTTTTATCTTTTGTATTGTTTTCCCCTTTAAGTATGAGCCACCTTTGTTTCATTTCTAGTATATATAGTTTTGATCTTTCACCTTTGTTGCACCAGTTCTTATTCCTGACTATAACAAAGGTGAGTTCTTGTATGTATATAGACAAGTTCTTATTCCTGACTGTAACAAAGATACCTTTGTTCTGTCAGTGTTCTGTGTGTGTTAGCAAACCTGGAACTCAACAGAACTTGTTTGCAACAGTGTTCAGCACTTCCCTAGTACTGTTCCAAAAGGACTGTTAAGAGTAGAGTGTCTTAAGAACTAGTAGTATTTTTAGCTTAAACTAAATCAATCTCCCAAAAATTTTGATAAATCTGAATCTGGTTTATTTGGCATAACAAACCTATTCACTGTTTGTGATGAACTATAATTCTATAGCACAAATCAAGATCAACATTCAAAGATAGGTTACTCAAAGTTCTGCATCAACACAAGTGATTGTTAGTACATTCCTGTAGGAATGACTGGTTACTGTAGTGTATAACACTTTGATGGTTTTGAGACAAACTTGTGGTTGTTACACTGTAATTAGTATGCACAGGCCATTCAAGGAGTCAGAAGGACAAGAGCGACTGGATTGGTTAAGGTCAGTTACCTTGTACTTTGGTGGGTTTCAAGAAAGAATACAATTCTAACAAATTTCAAAGCACTCATAGTTTATCAGGGTTGATTTCTTTTCATATTGTGTAAACATTTAATTCTACCATAATGCGCTAGCTGTAAAAGCATATAAGTGGCAGCACATACAATTTGTTATGAGACTGAAAGCCGAACGCACCATAGTTTAATAGACTTCCTGCAATTCATCTCCGTTATCTGGTTATCTGATAAATATGTGAAGAGAAACCTAAAGTCGCAAGCGAGTAATCAAGTCCCTTCATGATTCGGCGCTGGAGAATAGCTCCGACGGGGAAGAACGAAGACCCGGCTCATACCATCTGACGTCGATTTCGTGATAACCCACGCCTTGTCAGGCCAGCAGCTCCTTTGGTGCGGATCTAATCTTGTGCCCGAATGCATTCAGATGATGAACTTTGATATCTGTTATGATGCATATCAATTTTCCTTTGGGGTGTGCCGATCATTCGTACCGAAGGTTTTCAATGAAGTGATGTACTTCGTATAGAATTTCATTTGGTGTGGAAAAGGCTGAATTGGTGAATGCTAGTTCATCGGCAGAGAGGCTTGAGACTCAATAGAGAGCTTCGAGGGATTGCTAGGCTTGTATATGCCATTCCTTGCGTTGGAAGGAGGTGTCGCGTCATTGCTATTCTGGAGCAGGCTTGGATTAAACCGATACGTAGATAGATGAACCATGTATGCTACGTGTAGGACTTTGGGGGTAGTCATGAAATGAGGGTGGGCACATGTTGAAAAAATGGATTTCGCCTCGCTACGGTGGGCAGACGGAGGTTTTGATAACTTTGCTACGCGTACTAAAGTGGCCCTATCTTGAAGGAAAAAATCATGGAAGATTGCAAGAAGAAAGGAGAGCGAGATTAGCCATGGCAAGATCGCGTTTCAGTAATCTAGCCGAGGTGTATCAGATTAGATGGAAAGTTCCGCCCTGGTGTCGTATCCCTTAATTGCTATTCTCCATTTGTTCGGAAGCGGTAGATTCATGAGCCGACCGAGGTCTCGCCTTCCTGAGATTCGCCAATGAGGACCCAATGTCGAGGCTTTACTTTGAGCGCAATTTACTCATACACAGGTGTTCATGAGAAATCAGTGTGGGTGTGGAAACAAAAGCACTGCCTAAACACAGAGTGTTCCCATGCGAGGCCGTCGGCTCCGGACGTTCCGGGTTGATTCACAGAAAGGATTGCTGCATGAAGACGAGGTGGAACGACTTGGATAGCGTTGTCGGCTGTATGACTGTATCGGATGGAGTCGCAAGCCAAGCGTCATACCGACGAAATCCGGGAGAGAAATATTGCTAAGCGAGGTGAAATGATTTGGTAATGACTGCCTTATATGGCAGCTACCAATCGGGGACGGTTATCTGATAAAACCTTGCAGTACTTTTGACGCGACTCTCGCACACCACTGCCATCCCCCCGAGTCCCACTCTCCCCCCCTTCCCTCTCTTTCCTCTTTCCTATAGACTCCTACCTTATGACTATGCAGAATGTAATTGTCCTCGGTGGTTCCTATGCTGGTAGGCAATCGTCACTAAGGTTTTAGAATTACCTCCACCTGGTGTTGACATACCCACTCATGTCTTAGGCGCGCGAGTAGCCCATCTGCTCGGTCAAGGCCTCGGGAACAAGTTTCGAGTAATAATGATAGATCGAAATAGGTTCGTATAATTTCTGATTACGTTCATATGCCAGTATTGACTCTTGCACTTAGCCATGCCAATCGTGTGTGAGAAAGTTGTTCCGCTGAATATGCGCTAATACCAGGGACAGATCTCTATGTCTTTCCTCGTCTCGCGGTGCTTCCTGGTCACGAACATAAAGCCTGTAAGTCATTTGTTAATGTATCCCTCCTCCATTGCTGATGTGTCAATGTAGTTATTCCGTACAAGGGCATCTACCATCCCGTAACTGCAGCTAATCCCGTCCCTCCCCCTACTCATCACCTCATCTTACAAGCGAGGATCATCGGCTTCACGCAGCACGACGTCACGATCGACCGTATGTTCCCCAATCTTGGCATTCATTCGCCAGTAATTCCATATAAATACGCGGTTTATGCACTTGGTAACCGGCTGCCGGCTCCGATCGATTTATGGTTCGAGGATGAAGATGCGGTCGGTGCGCAGTTGAAGGTTGATAAAAGAGGAGAAACACAAGCTGCAGGAGGTAATGAGAGGAAACCGTATGGCGGGTCCAAGCAAGAAGGCACACAATGGTTAAGGCGGTGTCAAGAACGCATTCGTGATGCTGGTAGTATCTTGTGTGTCGGTGGAGGAGCACTGGGAATACGTGGGTAGCATCTTCCATCACTACTGATGCTCGCTACAATTCCCCTCTTCTGTGCAGAGTTTGCTACGGACATCAAATCACTCTATCCAGCGAAACATGTCGCTCTTTTGCACTCGCGGCACCGCCTCCTACCACGCTTCGACTATGATCTGCACTGTGAAGGTAGGCACAGCCTTTTATGCGTGATCGCATCTTCTAATATCCTATTTCTCCGTAGTCCTGAAGACCTTGGAGGATCTTCGGATTGACCTTGTTCTTGGAGAGCGTCTAGATTTAGCGTCTACGCGACCGGAGGCCGTTAAAGTTAATGAGCAAGGGCAACGCGTTGTTCGGACCGTAAAAGGTCGTGAAGTTGCCGCGGACCTTTTGGTAAGTGCGACATTTGCGCAGCAATGAACTTTAGCTCATTCTTCGAATTAGCTTCTTTGTACAGGTCAGATTCCGAATACAGGCTTCTTGGCCGCTATGTCGCCACAGTCAGTCGATCCTGTGACCAAGCTCGCATACGTATTACCGACGATGCAGCTTGGCATCATACCTCCTGCTTCTGAATCGGATGAGTTCCTCGAGTCTTCCAAAGGTACTTCGTTAGTATCTGAACTTGATCTTAGCCAGCTTCGTATAGATGAGGAATCTGAAAGTGCTGTCGTGGCCGATGAAGGATTAGTTGGAGAAGCTCAGGTCGAAGAAGTCGAAGAGGTAGTGCTGGAGCAACTTCCAGAGACTCCTTACCCGCATATTTTCGTCATCGGAGATGCTGCAGATGCGTTCGGTGCAATCAAGGCAGGTCATACGGCGTATTGGCAAGCGGAGGTTGCCGCAAGGAACATTATCCGGCTTGCTCGAAGGGAAGAGACTGAAGCCGAAGACAAGGTTAACGACGGCTCGGAACCCAGGGCTGCGGAAGAAGAATATGAGGACGAGGCGAGCGTTGGAATGACAGAGTCACTTGAGCTGGAGTCGTACAATCCTGGGCCACCTGCTATCAAAGTTTCACTTGGTATTGTGCGTCATAACCTGTTTATATTTCTTATCCATTCTGTTTTTGGAATTGGTTATCTAATCTGATCTGATTATCATCTGGTAGGGTCAAACGTCAGCGTACCAGATTAATGGTGTGATTGGACGGAAGGATACGACGGAGGCAGATGATCTCGATGCTCCGCTTGCCTGGGCATTCTTTGGTATGCAGGATATGAAACCGGAGGATCTGTATAGCTGAGGATTCCATTGTGCTTCTTTTGCGAGATGCTCTGCAGTATCTCTGTGTCAGCTGGTCAGTCTATTGACGAGCGACGCACGCTGTGACCCACGCTGAACGTTCCGAAAGACTGGAGATTAGATTGGAAGGGGGTTGCATTTTGTCCCAAGACCCACTTTGATTCAAAACATTGCAAGTAGTTTCTGCACCCTGTTTTAATCCGAAAGAAGTAATTCAGAATGTTTTGGTGTTATGCGTTTATTAAGAGTTTGCGACTAGAGATGATTGTGTACTTCATTCTCTCTGTTCATTTAAAGTTCCGAGAGTAATTGCTATCGGTGTGAGCAGTCAATCTTTGGTCGTTCGCAATTTGCTCAGTAGGTCTGATCTTTGCAGGGCAAAGGTGATTTTTTGTGTGAATTCATCAAGTTCTGAGAGAGAAGTCATAGGAAACTACAGACATAGAAAGAGAAGTAAGTCCAAAGAGTAATAATAAAATCAACGAAATCTTGAATTCAAGTGCCTCACGTCTGCCTTTTCCTGAAAAGAACATGTGCTTTCGGATTAGGCACCACTGCTGCCTCGAATTCGAGGTCCTTCGGTCGGTCTTGTCCGTCCTGTAGTTTGATATCGTAGTTCAGCACAAGATATGCCATCATTGCTTTCAGCTCATTAGCAGCAAAGAACCGACCAGGACTTTTACAAAGGTGATAGGAATCAGATCCATATCAAACTCCTACAGACGGCAGGATAACTCACCAAGCATGTCGTCTGTGACCGAAAGTAAGGAACTCATTACTCGTGGACACGAGTTGGTGGCGTGTCGCCTCCTCTGCACTCTCGTCGCGAAGGTCTGCGAACCTAAAGGGTCGGAATTCACTAGCATCTGCATAAACACCATCATTGCGGTGCATTGCAAGCGCGTTGCAGGATACAAATGAGCCTTTGGGGAGGACGGTTCCATCGGAAAGCTTGTAATCGACCAGAGCTTTTCGAGTCATGGAAGCTACATAACGAAGAAGCAGTTGAGGGACAAACTGTTCAGTATCAAAGACGAAAGGAACAACGGACTGTTTCCAGCCCATTGAAGCGCATGCTCTCCTTTAAGAAGCTGTCTATATTTCGCATGTTCTGTATAGAAAGCTTTGTCCATCCGTCAGATTCGATCACGTGTTCTGCCTCTTCGCGCATCGGTGCTATAGTTGCTGAAGTCCGGTCCTGGTCCGGTCCGGGTGTACTTCACCTGGACTCAGGACTGGACCAAAATTGCAGTCCGGGAGTGTCCCGGACTGTGGACCGGACCTATGTGGACAGTTACTGGACTGGACCCAAGTTCCAGTCTGGTTTCGGACCGTCCATGACCGGACTTGAGAGAACAATTTGAGAGGCGTCAGCACATTATTTTTTGTATCTAAGTACATAGATAATATAACTAATTATGAAGCCCCTTGTAATAAGTCTTTAAGATTTCTATGGATTCAAATGTTTCAGGCAGTAAGCAGTTTCGCCTTTTAGTATCAACAAGTCCTGTCTTAAAGGACAGCAATCCAGAGGAAATATTTAAATATACACTCGGGCCTGATCTGGCTTTGCATATCAAATGTACTCGTTTGCTACCAGTTTTTACAACTCCCAGCTCTGAATACATTGCACAAACGAAGATCACAATGTACAAAATCCTTACAATTGTCTAGAACAGGCATAGCTTCTCTGTTAAAGGTTTGCAAGTTCACAATACTGCTCCCAGCACTAGAGAAATGTCAGACAAGAAGGAAATCAAAGTTATAATCAAAGAGACTGAAAAGTAAAATGGATGTCAGAATATGTACTACAAATAATTCTGTGCTACAAACAATCACACAAAACATTCAAGTCCGGAGTCCAGTCTGAGTCTGGACTGGTCCATCAGTCCGGGAAATTTCTCAATTTGATGGACGCAGGACCGGACCCCCCTTGGACCCATGAGGACCGGACTGTAGAGGACTGGTCCTCAGGTCCAGTCCTGCGTCCGGACCGAGTCTGCTGGGTCTGGGACCGGACATCAGCAACTATAATCGGTGCAATGTACTCTGGGTGTGCTGCAAGGTGCAGCAATGCATGTGTAAAACTCTTTATTACAGGTAAGCGAACGATAATTAGAGAGCTTTAAATGACCTTACATTTGATGAGGTATGGATCGCTGCAAAGTTCATGGTAAGAATACACTGTGTTAATCCTTCGACAGAGCGTTGTTTATCATTCGGTGCTTCATCGATGAGCTAAGACAACATATCATTCTATGAACGAGTACTTGTGAGCAATCACATTGAAACAGATCCGCATAATAGTGCACTTGCCGGTTTTCCCGGCCACTCGTCACTGTGTTTCTCTCTCTGCTTTAAGCAATACTCAATGATAGGTGCAAGGTGCTTAATACTGCAACGTGTGCTTGCTGGAGTGGAAGTGAGGAGTTCACCAACAATCCTAAAAGATAATTTCTCAGTCTTGTTTATCTCTTCTGGACATGTGTGTCATTTGTGCACCCTTTCATAAATCCTGGGAACATTCGAATGACTTGAGCAGCCTTCATCACGTTAATAGTGAACTGCACGTTAAGCTCGGGATAATCTTTATTCCTGCCTAAAATATAGTTAGTATCAGGTTGGCTGTAAAGCAAGTAACAATATTTTGCTTACAAAGAGGAAGACCAACGAAGACACGATTGCTTGCCCTGCCAACGACCTGCATCACAGGACGGGAAACCCATTCTATAAAATCATGACCAGCAATTCAGACTTGACTTTCTGTATCCAAGCCCTGAGTCTCACGGCTCTTTTTTGGACGACCCTGAATGGCCACTTACATAATACTTATGTGGTGGCTCTCAGACTAAGAGTTAGGAGGGGGTTGGGG